TAAAAGGGCAGAATATTTTGAAGAGTGCAGAGAATTTTAAAAATAATTTTTTCTTGAATAGATTTGATGTAGGAAATTTGGAATTAGGGTACCCATTTATAGATGTCTTTTCGGAATGGTTGCACATTTTGGCAAAAAATTCAATTGACCAATTTGATTATACATTCCCATATTTAATGATATAGATTACACCCTATTAAAAGTTGACAACTTTTCATAATGTACCTTTTTGAATAATCACACCCAATTTGAAAATATATGTGACTCTTTGATATGCCGCATTTACATTTGAAAAGCCGTGACTTGTCATCGTATTAATTGGAGATTTTTCAATTCCCCTATAAAATTATCTTGTAAATTCCAACATTTTATACGCTCTTGAACATATCATTATGAGCAATTAATTGGAGAATATTCAATTCCCCTATAAAATTATCTTGTAAATTCCAACATTTTATACGCTCTTGAACATATCATTATGAGCAATTAATTGGAGAATATTCAATTCCCCTATAAAATTATCTTGTAAATTCCAACATTTTATACACTCTTGAACCTATCATTATCAGCAGTTAGGATAGCACTTCGATTGACATAATGAATGAGCGTCCAAAAAATTATATGATTCCCATCTCCTATAATAACAATTAAAACTAATGAAATTTAGTGATAGTTTATGTTACAACTGTTGGAATGCAGAAGCAGAATTGTCCAAAAATTAAAAATTTCATTAAGATCGTCTAGATGTTTACGTCTATGTTATATCAAGAATAAAAAATTCGAATATTCACCTAAATTCGATGGTAAATTCTCGAATCACAAACTTCCTGCTTTTTTGATCAACAAGTTTAAGTTTTTTAATTCCAAGAACTTGATGCTCCAAATATCCAAGTTGTTTATGGTATTCTCCAAGGTCAAGATTACACGGGTGAGTGAACACCTTCTCTTTAATTAAAGAAAAAAAAACTAATTTTTGAACTGATAATTGAATAAAATGGGAAAATAATTATTTTTCTCCCTCCAAATTCAAACACTACTATGATTGTTGTAGGTTTTTAGGTCCTATCTAGCATTTATTTATAAAGATAAAATAGTTTCAATCCTTGAATAATAAAATTTTACATTCAAATAGGAATCTTAATAAAAATCCATATTGTAGTTCTAATTAATATCCACATCCAATTAGTTTATATTTAATTATATGTGTAGCCCTAGAACTTTAATTACAATTATAATTAAGTTTACTACTTTTATAGCAATTACAAATAAGTCAAACATTTTATTGTAATTACAATTAAGTCCAGAACTATTATAATTATCATAATTAGGTTTTAATACTTTATAGAGCTATCATATGATCTAATCGGACATATATTATCAAAGTTCCAATTATAAGATCATGTCTAATCTATTTTAGACTATCTATTTTAATTATTAGTCTTTGTTTTTTCTATTAAAGGTAAAATACTGAACTCTTTGAATATATAAGACAACAGAAGCTAATAAATCATTAATACTTTCCTCTAATTTGATGTATATGTATTTTATCCACATCCAAGATTCAATAATTAGGTTTGAACATAAATGTTCATTTACCCATTTAATTATTTTCACTAACTTAAGTTTTATTTTTTTCAACAATCCTGTGAACTAATTATAGATGTCAAAGGTTAGCCGTTGCTAAATAATGAGTTCAGATTTTAACAATTCAACAACAACAAAATATTTAAGTAGCCACTCTACTTATTTTTCAAGGCAACAGTTTTCGACACGAATTCATGTTCTATACTTTGCTCATTCTCAAGTTCAAAATTCATTGAGATATTGATTAATCAAGCTGATCTCACACATTGATTAATCAAAGAACCATTAAAATCATGAAAAAAGAAACGTAATCCTGTCACGAAATTTAGAAGAAATACACAGTTGTTAAGTGAAATTTAATTCTCCGCATAGCATGCTATAGAATAGACTTGACACATAGTCTATTCAATATACTCCAAGTATATTAGTGTCATTTTTAACTACTTTTGTGATAGAAACAAATCACAAACTTGATTAGTGAATCGATCATCACTACAACCTTTTAGTACAAGGTATCAATTTAGTACAAGGTATCAACCCTTATACACTAGTTGTAAATGGATGAGTTTCGTTCCGAATACATTTTTAATGTCCTAGATTTAACAACTAGAAAGACATGAATGGTAATGTGCTAAAATATCAAAAAATATCTCGGCGTCTTTCTATTTTTAAGAATAGATGATAATTTAACGTGTCAAAAATGTATTGGAGTCTTGGTTACTATAATTGGGCTCTGCGTGCCACATCAGCAAAATGAAAGCACCTCCTGCGATATACATAAGAAAGTGTGCGCAAAGCCCCCAGGGTGCAAAGGATATAAGTGAGGTAGTCTCAACCTTACTGACAGTCACAGTGTGAAAATTCGATTCCTGAGATATGGAATTGGACCCTTTGTGAACACCAGTGTACAGACAAGCTCTTGTTACTTATTGGGGCACATTTCACAATTTATCTTCCTCACGATACTCTAGAGACGCGAAATTTAGAAGAAATACACAGTTGTTAAGTGAAATTTAATTCTCCGCATAGCATGCTATAGAATAGACTTGACACATAGTCTATTCAATATACTCCAAGTATATTAGTGTCATTTTTAACTACTTTTGTGATAGAAACAAATCACAAACTTGATTAGTGAATCGATCATCACTACAACCTTTTAGTACAAGGTATCAATTTAGTACAAGGTATCAACCCTTATACACTAGTTGTAAATGGATGAGTTTCGTTCCGAATACATTTTTAATGTCCTAGATTTAACAACTAGAAAGACATGAATGGTAATGTGCTAAAATATCAAAAAATATCTCGGCGTCTTTCTATTTTTAAGAATAGATGATAATTTAATGTGTCAAAAATGTATTGGAGTCTTGGTTACTATAATTGGGCTCTGCGTGCCACATCAGCAAAATGAAAGCACCTCCTGCGATATACATAAGAAAGTGTGCGCAAAGCCCCCAGGGTGCAAAGGATATAAGTGAGGTAGTCTCAACCTTACTGACAGTCACAGTGTGAAAATTCGATTCCTGAGATATGATATTGGACCCTTTGTGAACACCAGTGTACAGACAAGCTCTTGTTACTTATTGGGGCACATTTCACAATTTATCTTCCTCACGATACTCTAGAGACGGGGCGATGAGCCCTCAAGATTGGGTTCAACCTTTAAGAAAGTGTGTGCACAGATTTGTCTTTACATGCAAGCTCTGTTTATATATATCTCTAAGCAGAAACGGGCCTTTTCATCTCAGCCATACCCATGCCTCCTTTTATCTCTTTGTTATCACAATAAAACCATCCATTTTCTTCTCAAATTTGCGCCTTTCTTTCTTCTTTTATCTATATATAATTCATCTACAGGAAGGGAACCCATTTTTTCCCTCAAATTTTCATATCGAGAATACCCTTTTCCAATCTTGGTATGTATCTCATTTTCGTTTAGTTTTTCTGGTTCAGAAAAGAGACTATAGATTTCTATATAAAAGGGTTGTAGCTACTCTGTTTTTATCTTGACTCTTGAGTTTCCAGGAGTTACACTTTCAATAATGATGGTTTTAATATAATCTTGAGGGAATCAGCCATCATTTTCTCGTTTAAGCTGTTAATATGGTGTGAATGGTCCTTTAGAGCCTTCAAAACCTTTGAATCCCGTTTCTTCTCCAAATTTTGCTTGCAGCTTGTTTGTGAGTGATTTTTTGGCCAAAAAAGTTGATCTTTTGACCATTATTTACCTATTTCAGCCGTTATATTTGACTTTTTCTCTTACGGGTGATCCCACTTTTCTCCAAACGTAAAAAAATCAATTCTCAAAATCACTCGGCTCACGGTGTTACAATTCTTTGATTGAGATCTTACTTTTTGTTGACTCATTAATTGGATTGTTGATATATGTTTTAATATTTCTCCTCTGTTATGTCAGCTCAAGAGTTCTGTAATCGAAATTCAAGGTCAAAACGTCATGAGTTTATGAAGTTACTAACATCCCAGAATTTGGCCTTTTTTACTTAGCTTAAATCATACGAAAATAACTCCTCTTCTTTAATACTTGACTTGAGATTTTTTTTTTTTTTTTTCTTTTCATATCTACAGATCTTGTAACAGTATTGTTGTTGTTCTGTCATGAGATAAATTGGTGAAGATTGAAAGGGGAAGAGATGTCCTCAAATAAGAGTCATCATTTCTTGTCAATAATTTGTTTGCGTAGCAAACTTTAGTTTAGCACAATCACTCAATTTTTACATATCATCGTTGTCTTTTAAAAATATCTGAGTGTGGAGTAAGTGATGTCATGATGTCTATACTGAAGCCTTATTGAACACGTTATGGCTTATCCTTGTTAATTTCTCCTCTTCTTTTTTTACCGTTGTTTGGTACTCATTTTTTTCAAAGTAAATTTTTCTCTCTTTTTTTCAACCACACATTCTTCATTAAAATGATATTACACGTAAATAAAATTTCTTTCCTTATTTTTCAACCACACATTTCTCATCAATTTACTATTCCAAAATGCATTTTTACATATAAATGGCAGCCAAACACCCTTTTTATCGACTTCTTCTAGAAGTATATTTATGGTTCACTTAGAAAAAAACATAATTTCTCCTTCCAGAATTATATTTATGGTTCACTCACAAAATGTTGAAAGAACATTAGTGACATAATGATACTATTTAATACTCCATCCATTCCATAAATATAAGTTTGTTTTCGTTTTTTTGTCTGATTAAGAGTATAATTGATTTCTTATCAACAAATATGAAATACTACTATTTAAATCATTATTTAATGTAAGGATATATTAGAAAAAAAAATTTAAAATTATATTTTCAATATGAAATACTATTATTTAAATCATTATTTAATGTAAGGATATATTAGAAAAAAGAATTTTAAAAAAATTATATTTTCAACTATATTAATGACATTTTTTTTAATTTGTATGAAAATAGAAGCACATATATATCTTTGAGGGACAAATTGTGCATTCTCGAAGAAAGTATTATGCTTGAAATATGCTGCTGTGCCAGGGCTTTTTTGTCCACCCTTTTGATAAATTCTCACATGGGTGTGGGATCGGGTGGGACTCGAGGTGAATTTAAAATGCAAGAAAAGGCCCCACCAACCTCCAAATGTGAGAATAGGTCAGGGAGGGTGTCAGCAGCATGGTTCATTATGCTTTGCCCATTTGGTAGTTTGTTTGGTTTCAAAAAGTAAAGGTGGTTGGATGGGAGCCACAGTTGAAGTATTGGCTAAAATTCTGCAACAATTATTGAATTATAAAATCAAAACACTTCTCACCAACCTTAATAATTGTTTGTTTTCTTTTCTTTTCCTATAAAAAAGAATGTAAGGAACAACGTTAATTTAGTAGTCATAAGAGGAAAGAGGAGTTACGAATATGGGTTTTCGTTGCTCATTTGATCATCTACTTTTTCTAATCCACCATCTCTACATGCTACACTTGTGACATTGATTCCTTTGATCCTATATATTATGAATCAAGTTATTTGTACAGAAATAATTTTACATATTTGTTGACATATGTTAAGGTAACATGCATTTTGGCCTTTGATTTGAATCTGTCATCCTTTCTGTCGACTGGAATGTACAAATAGCAAGGTCCTATGGTGTCGGCAGAGTTTAACGAACAGGTGGTGTTTTTTGACCGGTACATTGTGTGCTACAGATTTTGAGATGTTGAGTTTTATGCTGTCGTGATCGTTAGAAAGTAACTGAGTTTGCTGTTCGGGGGACATTTGTATTTCCAGTCCATAAAGTAGTTCATTCTTATGCAACTTGGGCCATATTTTAAAGATATCTACTGTTTTTCTGGTTTTGGTATTTAATCTCCTGATATAGGTTTTGGATTTGTTAAGGGGATTTAGGGATTTAACAAGCTTCTTACCTGCCAGATAGATATTCAGACAACGAGATCTAATCAAGTCAAAGTTCAATCGGACAATATGGCTGCGGATCATTATCTCCAAAGTGATTTCATTGAAGATGAAGCTTCCTTGGAGAAGTGGAAATCCTTATCCTCGAGAGTTGACGAGTCTGAAGCAAATCCATCTGGTGGCTTTGAGTGTAACATCTGCCTGGACGCCGTACAAGATCCAGTAGTCACAATCTGCGGGCACCTGTACTGTTGGTCCTGTATTTACCGATGGATTAATCGCCGCAACAATGACTCCCCAGAAAACCCAGATCAGCAGCAGCCACAATGTCCTGTCTGCAAGTCTGAGTTGTCAGAGAAGACCTTAATCCCACTCTATGGACGTGGACGAACTACGAGCTCCTCGGCTTCAGATTTAGGCATTCTCGTACCACGAAGGCCTCCTAGTCCTCGATGTGGGTTTAACATGCTGATACCAAATATAACCACGGGTAATTCACTTCCAGCTCAACGTCGACAACAAAGTTATGTCGATCCCTCTCGACCGTTTCACCCTTCCTCACCCATGATTGGCATTGGCAGGATGACACCGACGGTTATCGATCCTGTGGTCGGTATGTTCGGGGAAATGGCTTACTCAAGGATATTTGGAAATTGGGACACAACTCCGCATACATATCCAAACTCTTATCATTTAGCTGGTAGTAGTAGTCCTAGAGTAAGAAGGCATATATTGCGAACTGATAAATCACTCAGCAGAGTTTGCTTCTTCCTATTTTGTTGTGTAATGTTATGTTTAGTCTTGTTTTGAACAATTGTTTGTCTCCTGTTTTCTAAATCCATGTAAGTGTGAAGACTTCCCTGTACTAGTATGAGACTACAAATACAAAAATCAAGTCGATGTAATAAATGATAAGAGATTTTACATATTTTAATCAACTTGCATAAATTCACTTGATTTACATTTTTCACGAATGTTTGTCGATAATATTGAGACTTTTCGTAGAACACTTGATCAAAATATGACTTGTTAGCCCACAAAATTAGCGATTCTTATTTGCTCGATACGACTGTATGAGATCACAATTCACCTTACACGATCATTATATGTTTCCATTTTGTTCTGTTTGGGCTCAATTTTATTCAAAAGTACTTTTACTCTCTTTTCTTTTTAACAGCACATTTTTCAATAAAATAATATTACTCGTAAATTAAAATTTTTCGTTATTTTTAATCACTTAATTCTTTAAAAAATTATTATTTTAAAATGTATTTTTTCCTCAAAAAATTGATTTTAATGGAGTCAAAAATAGGACTGTAAAACGTGATTTTATTATTATTATTATTTGTTTTTTTTTGGTAAGCTTGCCTATAAATCTAAGTAAAATATTGTGTAGTTGTCTTATCATAGAAGCAAGTGGGAGTTGAAAGAGGCTTTTCAAGGTGCATTCAATTTTGCTACTTTGCCAGAAGATTTCTACCCTCTTTTTAAAAAAGGTTGAACCCCAATTTTAAGGGTCCCTCACCATCTCTATCTTGAAGTATCGTGAGAGAAGTAAATCGCAGTTTATGCCTCCAAGGGTATAGGGTGGAAGACTGTTTGTACACTTGCACTTATCCAAAAGCCAAATCTATATTTCAAAATTCGAACCCTTGACGCGTAGTCTCAAGCAAAACTGAATTTCTCCACTCTCCCCTTTTACCACTTGAAGATGTGCACTGGGAGCATTTTTTTACCCTCTTTCTTGATAGAGGTGTAGGTGGATGAAAATGACAATAACATTTAAAATAATTAAATGATAGAATGCTCTACGACATTATTTAAATCTATCATCCAACGAAGATGGCACTGTAGTGTGACTGTTTAAGGGTACAAATGAAGCCTCATCAGTTGTCCTTCTACAATAATGATGAATTTCATGCTTTCAAAATGTCAAACATTAGCGTCCGCATGGTGGGTAGACCATTGTCAATCAATTAGGTGTAGGTTGTCGTAGTATGTTATTTCATTTGATAGCATGGCCACCTCAATCATTTTTTTAGAGCGGGGACCTGTTTGATGTTACAAGATTAAAATTTAAGTTAAAATTAATAAATAATTTTAATCAAACATTTGGGTGAATTTTGGTGAAACGTGCTTGTAAATATAGGTAATTTTAAGCATGTTTGGACTTAAAAAAAAAGTTTTTTTTTTATTGGAACAAATGGAAATTATACACATGGGGTGATACTTATTTTTCAAGCAAGTGCTTACTTTATGCTCTGACTAAAGAAAAAAAGTAGGTATTACTCTTAGAAATAACTAGATTCTCAATGGCATTACGATGATCAATCACGTTGATTAGCTTGAAAGTAACAAGATTATAAATTGTATTTATCTGGATTTTCCTCCCTCTATTACACTTTTTAGAAGGCATAATCGAGATAAATTGTCTTTGAAAAATTGGATATGTAGTATTAGGTAAGACTACTCATTATCATGTGTTTTTAGTATTTTCTCCTTTATTAACGTTGTCTTATTTCATATGATTTTAATAAACGTTATAACTTTTTAATTGCATGAATTTCAGGATGTAACGCTTTTGTTCGATTTTTTCTTTTCGTTTTTGCTCAAGCATTTTAAAGAGCTTTTCTAATCAAATAGATTATTTTTTGTTCGATTAAGCTATTTGTGCATTCTTGTTGACATCCTTCCCGTTAAAAATCTGATTAGTGATGCGAAAAAGTGTTGTAAAAATCAATGAATATGATGAATTTTGTGACAAAGGATGTCAAACTCAATGAATAGCCTGATTATTTTTTTTTCTTTGACTACCTTTTGGTGGAATCATTTTCTGTTGTGATAAAGACAAGTGGCTTGAAAAAAATAAAAAAATAAATAAAACCAAAGTGGGCGTCATTTTCAGTTTCTCATCTCTTTTCCTCTAATTGATATATGAGTGGGGGGTGGCGGTGGCCGTCGGTTGACATCGTGGCGGCGGCTAATGTTTGGTGGAGGAGAAACTTCCAAAATGGAGAGTAAAATCTATCCTGGCTGGCATACTTTTCTTTCTTCCGTTTACCTTGGATGAATACCAAAGGGTCAAAATTGGCCAAAAAAGGTTGAGCCTTGACTTGAATTGTGGCACTTATCTCAAAATTAGAACATCGGCCACGTATTGATATTGAATTTGGATCATGCTGTACAATCATGGTGTACAACCACCTTAATCCAATTTTCATTATCAATACGTCGCTAGAAGGGACCCAAATTGGATGCAACTCTCCTTATTAGGGTGACAACGCTTACATAAGATTAAGACATGAATTAATTTCATTCAAAGGGTAACTTGTTACTTTAATTTCATTCCTAACCCGTCCCGTCCCCAAATGAGACTTGAACCTATGTTGATGACATAACAAAATTTTGCTCTTATCATTTGAATTAGACTCGACCTCATGATAAATTGCTAGTGTAAACTAATTTTGTTACACCCCACTCATTATAATTAAAGTCAATTAAGCATTTGGTCAAGTCAAAGTCAAATAAAAAACTTAAGTTGAACAAATGAATTTTATGGGACTTAAATTGTAAGAAAGGGTGTCGCACAGGAATCTAGAGATTTAATTTCTATTTTTGAGGATTTAAGGACTAAATGTAATATTGAATGAAAAATTTCTCAATATTGTGATTTTGACATTTATCTCTAATTTTAATGGATAACTATAGAACATTGCAAGTCAAGCCCATCAATCTTCATTCAATATTACAATATTGAGAAATTTTTCAATCAATATTACATTTAGTCCTTACATCCTCAAAAATAGAAATTAAATCCCTAGATTCTTGTACGATACCCTTTCTTACAATTTAAGCCCATAAAAATCATTTGTTCAATTTAAGTTTCTTATTTGACTTTGACTTGACCAAATATTTAATTGACTTTAATTATAATGAGTGGGGTGTAACAAATTTTGTCGAAATCTAGGTTGTGAACTATCATGTCGAGTCCAATAACGAAATCATACTAATATGCGGAATTTGAGACCCATTTGTTTCTCCCGTAGGAAAAAGTTCTGCTTTCAATTAATTCGTAATTGCGAAATGAAGATATATACCACTATTTTCGGAACTTCGTAATCACATAGTAATTGCAATCAAGTAATTTCAGCATGACTTGATTTTTTTTTTATGTTTTTAAATTTTTATTTCCATCCGTATGGCTAATAATTATATCAAACATAGTGAGATGTAAAGAAGATAGAAACACACAACATCTACATAAGCCATTATTCTAAATATTTCAACAGCTAATTTATTTATTTATTTTTTATAGAACACAATAAGTTTTCATTCATTATCTTTAGGGTTGGGCACGGTCCAGTCCGGTTCAATTCGGCATTAACGAGTGCAAAACTAGACCCAAAATTTTCGGATATTTAGTATGTGGAAATGCCAAGTCCAAATTTAATTATAAAATCGTTTAGGTTCAGTTGAGTTCGATTCGGTTCAATTCCCGGGTCCAGTCCTATAATTGATTTTTTAAATATTTTCAAGTTACATTAATTCAACTATTGACATGTTCCATTTTAGTTCTTAGAAAATAATGTAGTTCAATTTTATGTGTCTTTTAAACTTCTCTTTGCTGAGTTCTTCATAGATTTGATTATGAAAATCACGAGAATATGATGATAACTAGCTTACAATAATTAAAAGAGACGTTGTCGATCTCCAACTTGATTTCTCCAGAACGACAGATACGATAGTATGGTAAAATAACAGATTTTGGTAAAACTTAGGTCAATTTGATTTAGCTAGGTTTGGTTATTTAGAAATAGGAAAATCATATTTTTGAGTTAGCAAATTTATTTAGAAAAAGATAAAATAATTTGGCTTATTTAAAATAAATAAATTAAAAAAATTAGGGAGATTCGATTTTCGGTTCTAAATCGAACCAACAAATTCTTGATTCAGATACCCATTCGGGTATATAACTTAAGAAAAACTGCTCGGTTTGGTTCTAGAGTTTTGCCCAACCCTAATTATCGTCTTGAATTGTAATGAAACAATACTCAGAAAGCGATCAATCCATTGTTTAATAGTTAAATCAACCAAGTCAAAAGATCATTTAAATTAAGGTTTGGGGTTATGGACATCCATACTTTATAATATCTATAATGCTAACCCGTTTGACCCTTATTATTTCACATTATTATTATTATTCTTTTTTATCTTACTTTCAACATACATTCTTCTATAAAATAATATTACACATAAATAGAAAATATTTTCTTCTTTTTTAATCACATATTTTTCATAAAAACACTATTATAAAAAATTATAATACCAAATAATGAGGATCAAGCGGGGATTAAAATAACTGTAGTATTGACGAATGATCGAAATGCAAATTCATTCTTGACGGAGTAACAGTAACCTACAACTCTAACCAAATTTCGATAGCAATCGTTGATCTCAAAAAATGTGCCAACAGGTGTCGAGTTCCCTTGAAATTCCTGTAAGCAAATTTTGGTGGGTTTTATATAGATACCCAATCAGAGATTCGTAGATCTATTACGAACGTAGGTATAAGAATGAGATATTCACGATCTGTTGACCTCAAAAATGTGCTAACAGGTGTCAGGTTTTGCTAAAGTCCACATAAGCAAATTTTGGTGGGTTTTATACAGATACCCAATTGAAGATTCGTAGACCTATTATGAATGTAGGTATAAGAATGAGATATTCACAACCATGAGCAAATGAAAAATAGAATAGATGACTTAAGCGAGCATTCAAAGAGTGAAGATAATATTGTATGTTTGAATATATATTTTTTCATCTTTTACAATGTTACAAAAGTTGCTATTTATAATGATTAGACCGAACAGGTCACTGCTGCATCAGATCCATATGGCTCCGTCTAATTGACTAAAGTCTCACAATCACCCTATCACAT